AGGCGCCACTTTTGTTACTTCGAGCTAGCCCCCTTGTACCTCGCTGGGTGGGCTGGCCTTTTGGGCCATGCCAATAGCCTAGACACCTTCTCCGTGCTAAATATATGTATTCTGCACGAGTAGTGTGTCTTCTTTCGTCTTTAGGGAGCCCCAGGACGCTACATTTGCTCAATTTTAAAATTTTTTGATTAAGTCAATGTGTAAGACGTAAATTGCCTTTTTCATTGTCGTAAAATACACACGCTCAGAAGTCATACTTCTTTCTCTTTTTATCCTTTACAATTGCCAGTAAATTATTTGGGAATGCCAGAGTGACTTGATACTCAAAAATTAATATACTTTAACTTATCATGTATTCTTGAAATATACCTCTAGTAAGTCGATATATCAAACTGAAAATACATATGTGGAGGGGATTTACTGCCGCAACTGTAAACTCATCCAAACTGCTTGCGTGAATCTCCATTGTATTGTAATACGATAGTGGTTTATCCCTTGGCATTGGTGAGGCGCCACTTTTGTACTTTGAATCAGCCCCTTGTACCTCGCTGGGTGGGCTGGCCTTTTGGGCCATCCCAATAGCCCAGACACCTTCTCTGCGCTGAATATATATTCTGCCCGAGTATTTTGTCTTCTTTTGTCTTCAGGGAGGCCCGGGACACTACAGTATTTTGTAGATGATATATCGCCTATTTATTTTTCGACTTGAAATTTCTGTAACAAGAACTTTGCAAGATACTTGATCTAGCAGGCTAAGTAAACGCATTTTGATCAAAGTTTTTGTACGTTTTTTGGCATATTTTGGGGGATATCGCTGTTTAAGTGGATGCACAAATAGATCCCGCAAATACTTCACTTGGAATGAATTTGCACAAGTTTGAGCAGAGACAGCGGTGGGCACTTGCAGTTATTGCGACTGACTAATGTGATTTAATCAGTTGGCCAATTGTTTAGTGGTCAAATGGGTACTTATTTTCTGCTTGAACAGAAAATATCTCTTCCATTACATGCAGAACTCTGACTAAGGTAACGCGCGATAGATGCTTCAAGAGGCGTTTGAACATGGCGTTACATGATCTTAAGTGTCATTCAATTAAAGGAAATAAACTAACTGAAATTTCTAAGAGTAGTCTGACTTTAGATATGGTGTAGTAATTACTAACACCACATATTCCGACAGACAGGTGGCCGGAGTACATCCTCCTACTCCACACTTGACAAAGCCGACATTTGAGACTCGTCAGATTGCACTTCTGCTAGGCGACATGGAGGCAATATGTCTAAATACGCTAGTATGTCATCCGACGATATCTGGGAGATTCGGTGTGCCATGTCGTTGGCAGTGGCCAACGAATCACATCCAAGTGAACAACCACCTGATTTCCATAGCACATCATATAGAGGAAGACGGTCATCTAACGTGGATGGAGGAATACGTAAGGACACATAATTGTAATTTCCTCTATTCCGTGTTCCAGGCTAAAACCATCTGCAGAAGTCCACGATGCGTATATGTCAAAATCCGGTGAGTGTACAAGTAACATCACCTCCACCTCTCTACTAGCTGAATGGAATTTGCATAAATAGGTGGATGGCTGGTCAGTACAGAGGTGTAAACAAATTGCTAAGTGGGGTGAGACGCGAAGCATTATTTGCATTACATTAAGTTTAGTCCAGTCCCTTATTAAGTGGCTCTGCCAATGGGTCAGTATTCGTACGTGATAACCAACAATCAGCATTATAGGCTCAGCCTACTCACCTCTTCCCCAATACATTTGCCTAACAGGACAAATTTCACATCAGGTGCAATTTTCCAGACGCATCAGCTTTACGGAAATTCAATGAGTGGCAGAATCCCGAGTAGCTTTTTAGACCACCAACTACAACACAATGGCGGACGTGGAAGAATGACCGAGGAGAGGGCCCCAGGCAGACATTTAGATGATAAGAAAGGAGATAAGTTATGCTTTGACATTTTGTTCTGAGCCACAGAAACATAACGTGGGGCAGATCATTCTTCCGCAGGGCAGATAATCTGTTATAAAATGCGGCTTCTTACGACTTCAAGTAAGAGTCATGACATTACAATAAAACTGGTGTAACGTAAATAAACCGATACGAGTGCAACAGCTCTGCATTTTGTCGGTTTAAAGGATGAGGAAGCATAAAGACCTTAACCTCTCAACGTAATACTAATAATGTGTCCGCAAAAATATCCAAATGCAGATAAGTACAATAAAATTTGGAGGGTAAACTTTTGAGAAAGTCAAACTTCAAAAAAAAATTTATATCAAATTGCAAAAAAAGGTTCTCCCAAAGAGATAAAGGAAAAAATTCGAATGTAGGTGTTGCAAAAAGAAGGAAAAGTCAAAGGCGATCAAGCACGCAGGTCGTTCGAGGTGTGGGAATAGAATGGAAAAAAAGAGTGGCTAAAGCTTTTATTCAGATAGACATTTGTAAAAAAGTTTGCAGTTTACGATTCTTAAAACAAACAAACATACCTT